TATTCCACTTGAACCCACCCTGGAATCATATTATAAAGGGTGGGCTAGAAACTCTCTTATGCTTTAATTTTGAAAATTGGAGACCAGGGTTAGATTACACTTCCAAGAGATTTAAAGCCAAAAGAACACCCTTGCCTAAACTCACAGTAGGCTAGGGTCTTGGTACCAGCTAATTTATTCTTGCTTTGGAGACACAAAGGGAGATACAGTCCTACACATACAATATTGTTACTACCGGACTGGACATAAAGACTTGGAATTGACTGGGACTTGCTTAAGGCCATCCAATGCCTTGCTGATAACAGGTCATGGAAATATATCAGAAACATTTTTTTAAAAAAAAATCCCTAAGAGAAGCTCCAGGTAGCCAGAGAGTTTCTCCAAGATTCTCTTGGGACAAATGTGGCAAGACATTGCTCAGACATTGCATGAATAGCTCTTAAAAGGTAAAGCATTGATGTGGGAGGTGTAGATCTGGATGAGGAACACACCAGGAGCAAAGCTGACCACTGCCTTAGACCCATCTCATTCCAGAATCCTTATATGCATTCTACCTCATACCTATCTCTAGACACCATTCACACAATTGTTACCTGTGTGAATAGTGTCTAGTCTAGTTTGACCATTAGTCAGAGACAATCCAAGGTAGTCAGAGAAGATCCAAGGTCTCACAGTGGCCCATTTCAGTTTTGCACCACTACTGTGTTCAGACAGCAACTTTTAAAGAAAAGTTTCCCCACCCCGTAGCATGCTCTCTTTATCTTCCAATAATGTCTGAGAAACATATGGGCACTGTTCCACTGATTAAACTGTTTCATAAAAATTAGTAAGTGTGTGTGCATTTCTGCTGCCATGGTGGGATGGCTGAAAAGTATTGGCACTTATTCTGTAAGTTGAAACAGCACATAAATAGCAGGCAAACAGTTCACCTGGTCACAGTCATGTGTTGTACCCCATGTTGAAATACACTGCAATGATGGGCATGTTATGAATCTACTCACTACATAAATAAACAAAAAAGGAATTGTCTTTCTGTTTATTGTATTTCTATTTAAATTATAGAAATCATTTCTAAACGTGTATCTATCTATCTATCTATCTATCTATCTATCTATCTATCTACCGGTATCTATCTACCGGTATCTATCTATCTATCTATCTATCTATCTATCTATCTATCTATCTATAGCATATATTACATACGTAAATATATATTAGCACATGGAATTTTTATGCAGATCTGTGTTACCTTTCAGTAATGCATCTCCTCTTTTTTCTTTCTTTCTTTCTTTTTTTTTTTTTTGGCAATATGTAACTGGTGATCCTACCAACACTGCTCACTTTCAAACGGGCAGTGAAAAGTATTCTTGCATGGATTTCCAGGGTATTGTGCTCCATAAATGGCTTTTACTGAGAACTGCTACTTTTACATACTGCTTCATTTACTTTAGAATATTTCAACTCCCATTTTTATCTGTTGTTCCCCTTTTGGACTTTGGTGAATCACACTGATTACTACTCTATCTAGAGAAAAGCAGGGCAGAAATCTTGGATGTGCTCAACCACTGAGCAATGGCAGTTCTTACGGCTATCAACTGTCATGAACAAATCAGGATTTTCACAGCAATTTAAACAGTCCTGACATGTGAAGAGGCAGCTTAGTGAAATCCCTTGGATTTTAATCTGAACCTTTAAGGAAGGTTTTGTTTTTGCAACCTACATTCAGAAATTAAGAACAGCCTCAGTTTCCATGCAGAAACATTAAAAATAAGATGAATTAATCATAGCCAAAAGTGAAGTCATGCTTTATTACACGAGACAAGGTCCTGCTGGAGCAGCTGTATTCCTTGGTTCCTAGCTATTAGCTCCAAGTAGCATGCCCCATATGCCTTGCTAGACAAGGTGCCTTCTGGACAGTGCTTGCCGAGCGCAAGGAGCTTTAGGTTCTGATGGCAAGGGATTTGCTAAATAAAGCTTAAATCCGCCGGCTTCATCCCTAGATGGAATACCGTGACAGTAAATAACAAAGCATAAATCGAAATAATACACAGTAGCCACACATTTTTTGTTTCACATATTGGCCTGCATGGCTTTATGGCCACTTAACTGATCCATAGCAAATGTCAACCTTTCTTCCACTGTAAACAACTGTCTCCTGCCATCTCAAAAGAGCAAATAATAGAAAGCTGTATTAGTACATGCAGAGCGCCACTGAGAACTCCGGCGAGGACAGGGCAGATCTCATTGGCTGGCCTTGGGCAAATCACTTCCTCAGCCTTAGCCCTTGCTTCCCCATAACTCCCACACCATGGACAGGAAAGTGGCTGGGGAGTGCGATCAGAAAAATGGTCCAGGAGGAAAGGATTAGGCCCTCTTACACACAGCTGCTCCAACCAAATCTCCTACTCCCCCATGACTGCATTTCACTTTTTAAAAATAAACACAGAGAGCTGAATATCTTGTCTTGGTTGACTTTGAGGCTGCATCCTTGTTTGCAAAGTAGTTTACAAATGGAATTTGCCACAATAAAGGGATCAGTGCTGGAGCATTTACCAAGTGGACAACACTGCTCCACATGTTGTGCTGAAATAAGAGAGGAGTTATGTACTAATCAGTTTCCTCTCATCCTTGAACTCCATACTTTCAGCTGATCCCAGACAAGGGTGGTGGCGAAGATGGGTGAGACTTTCAGTCCCTAGCTTGTGTCAGCTAAATGAATGGCCACGAACTGCCAGACTAGTCTCAGTAGCAGCTGCTGAGAAGGGGCAATAGCAAGTCTCTAAATGTGATAGAAATATCACTAATAACTTTACTATTGTACTTTATAAAACTATCAGCATATATGAATATTCAGACTTGACAGCTCAACAGCAGTTGATTGAATGAAACACATCATTTTTCTTTGCAATAAAATATGTACACCCCATTTAAAACGTGTTTCAATAGAACACAAGAAAGGTAATAAAACTTCAATCTAGTTATCTGAGCAAGCCCATTTAACTTGTGTTGTATTTGATGGGTTTGACCTTTTCAAGCATTCAGGGTCTGAAACAGAGTTCGTATTTTACTGTGTGTACATTTTAATTGCTCTCATATATGAATATAGAAGTTGGATGCTGGGCTTTCTTTTAAGAGCCTACGAAAATCAAATCTGACAGATACCAGTTGACAATGCCTGTAGTTCATCCCTGTATAGCAATTAGTGCAGACTAATTGACTTCCACACAGACCACATGGATATTAGATTCTAATTTAAGCTACATGCCATATTTTTCTTCTGAAGAGGCAACCTGCTTTAAAATCAATTGTGAAGTGAAAAAAATGTACCAACTCACACTCTGAGTATTAACACCTGCAGAACTGATTGAAGGCTAAAACCACTTCTGATTTTATAAAGTGAAATGCATGTGTGGGGTACGGATATACGATCACAAGGCTCTCTATATTTTGGGTTTTTTAAAAAACAAACTCCCTTGCAGCTCATCTGAGGTTTTCTACAATATTTTGACTCAATCACAGTAAGACACTTCGAATTTAAATTGCAGCCAAAACCTGCTACCAAATTAGGGTTGTGCAAGATATTTTTGGCTCCCTACATGGAAAATCCAGTGGCACAATCCACCAGGAAATTATTTTTAGAAGCCTAAGCAGAATGAGTAGGAAATATGGCTTAGCACAGCTCTTATTCATTTCTGTGGGCCTTGTGCAGGGACACTTCTGAGTGAATTGTGTGCTCTAGGTCTGATCCATCTGCCTTGGCCTCTATGTGATCCTTAGGCTGCAGTCCTATCTGTACTAAGCTAGGAGTTGGTTCTTTTGAATTCAATGGAACTTATCTTCACCATAACTGTACTGTCTGATTTTGTGCTATGTCCTGCCCCCTTAACAACCATGTTGTTGCTGGCACCTACAGCACTCTGAAAATTCAAGGTGTCCATTGATCCGAAAAAGATTTGCAACCCCTGTTTTATTGCTTCCTGTTCAGTAGATTCTCAAAAGTAGTCCCATTGACTGCAATGAGTCTTACTCACACGTAAAAGATTGCAGCCTGAATGCAAGAGATTCTTTTTCTACTGAAAATATTGTGAAAGGTTACAAAGAATAGATGCTGCAAACTGGGGGGAAAAACCTTTAAAAACCCAGGCTACTCTTTTGGCAGTTATTAGTGGCCTGTGTAATTACATAATCTTATTACCACTTGTGCTGTCATCCTCCCTTCTTCCTCCTTCAGTGATAATCTCATTGCTGAGTCTAGCCAGTCTGATCTAAACATGCAAAGTTTAAAGGTAAAGATAAAGGGATGCCTGACTGTTAAGTCCAGTCACGGATGACTCTGGGGTTGCGGCGCTCATCTCGCTTTATTGGCCGAGGGAGCTGGCGTTTGTCCGCAGACAGCTTCCGGGTCATGTGGCCAGCATGACTAAGCCACTTCTGGCAAACCAGAGCAGCGCATGGAAACGCCGTTTACCTTTGCGGCCGGAGCGGTACCTATTTATCTACTTGCACTTTGACGTGCTTTTGAACTGCTAGGTTGGCAGGAGCAGGGACCGAGCAACGGGAGCTCACTCAGTCACGGGGATTCGAACAGCCAACCTTCTGATCAGCAACCCCTAGGCTGTGTGGTTTAGACCACAGTGCCACCCGCATCCCTTATGCAAAGTTTACTCCTGTGCAATAGAGAGCTTTATTCTTTTAGGCACTGTACATGCCACTCTTTGTAATTTGGTAAGGAAAAGAGAGCATTTATTTAAGAACACATTCTGAAGTCATTGGCTACACTACGAAACTTTAAACCCACAGTCTTTTATATGAGACTCCTACACAAAACTCAGTTGAGCAAAAGGTTAATAGCAAATAATGGAAAGACATGATTCTGGTACCTTTAATAGTGTTGTAGAAGGAGGAATTTCAGAAGGTGAATATTTTCATTCCTATTCATAAGAATCCTGCCAAAAAAACTCAACATAACTAGAAGTACAGGATCTCAATCCAATTTGTACCTAGCTGGTGACTTGCTTTGAGTTTGGTGCATCTATAAATAACTAGGAAACTTTTGGCTGCCTCTTCATTTGTTGCCCAGAAACGAGAGATCTACAAATAAATTCACGGTCAGTCTGTCAATACAAAATTTATAGGTTTTGTAAGAGTGGTGTACAGTGTACACTCAAGGAGAAATTTAATCAGCTACAGCACAACCTGCCTCACTTAATACCCCCCGCCCTGCCGTGTAAGTAGAGACAATTAACCTACGCCTTTGGGTACAGAGAGCAGTTCAGGTCATACACAGGGATTCAAAGGCAGCATTTTACTTCCCGGGTCTCCTTTTTAAACACACAGCTCAATACAGTATTTCCACTTTTACAGAAATAAAACCCCATAAACTAATAAAAACCCATAAACAACAAAAAGCAATGGCATTTGTTAAGATGGTCTGTTATGGGCCTAGTTCTGGGAGAGATAGAAAACATATGCCTGAACTGTGCCACTATAAATTGCAGGTGGGGGCTTCATGGAACTGAAAGTTCCTCTCTGTACAAAAGCCATATAGTACAAAATTCCTTCACACAGAAAACTAGCATATCAGGGAGAGTAGCAAAGTTACGGTATAACTCTTCTCCCAAATACCTAGCTCTCATTATTTAGGAACTTAGTTTCGGATGTGACACACTCCTCACATACATCAGAGTTGTGTGGGCAGCCAAACACAGGCTTCCCATTTCAGTAAGAAGCAGGATTTAGGAATAACTGTTCTATTTTATATACTTTAACCAGCAACTCCTGCTCAATCCATGTAAAACAAGTTTATACTTAAAACAATTGATTTACTTTAAATAAATTTAGGAGGTAAGTGTTTCATTACATCATTTAGGGTACCCCTAGTGGTTTTTTATCTAACTATATGGCTGGCAAAACAAAACCCCAAATTCAAGCCCTTTTGCTTTGCTTTTCATAAGTCAGCCACGGGTAGATTTACCAAAATTACTCCTTTCCACAGCCATTTCAGCTCTACAGAAAGACTTCCCATCTTTGGACATACTAAAGTGACATGCAGTGTCCATTCAGCCTTTTCCTCCTCCATGGAAGGAAGCACTTCTACAAACATTATTTTATTTATCTCAGGGAAAAGACACTTCTATAATACTATGGAGATAGAGCAAAGGCAAAACAGGAAATAAAACCCCACTCAAAGCTACAGAGCTACACTTCAAAAAAACAACAAAAAACGCAGAGGATAACATCTCTGTCCCTCTGTTACATCATTTTCCACTTTCCTGCCTTGCAAAGCTTATCCAGTCTGAAATGCCATCTTAATATAGTTAAACACACAGGTGGGGAAGCATCGTCTCTCCCAGTCACATGCAGGAATTACTGTCTAGCAGCACTCTCCAAGAATCCTTAGGACTCACCTGACAGCTAATATTTCCCCTTATCCAGAGCTTTTTAAAATGGGCAACTGTCAAGAGGCAGATCTTTTTGGACAGAACAGTCTGCTGCAGTCTGATAAGAGAGGCAGTATCACCTCCTTAGTACATAGCGCTTCAATTTTTCAATGTAAGAAACCAAAGCTCACCAATATTTTCTGCACTTCCCAACTTTTGCATTGTATCAGTAAATAAATAATAATAACAAAATTAAGTCTAATTACAAGGATAATAGTAAGTTAGAGGCCAGCTGCTTGGGCTGGTTTGAAGCTCAAACCAGGGATATTTGTAAGCCTAGCTTCAATGTAAGGGAATTTCACATCTCTATATATTGCAAGAACTTACACACAAATCATTCCCTACATATTTCGCCAAAGTTGCATAAATACTTCCAATGCGACTGTCACCAAATTTACTTATAAGCAAACCCTACTAATAAAGCTTACCTGAAAATCAGGCTGCAATCCTTGGTACTTCTTTGGGAGCAAGTCCATTCCACTGTAATCCATTTACTCCTGAATAAACAAGGACAGGAATCAGCTAATGCAACTGAAGTCATGAGAACTAGTTTCTTTCCACTAAACACAGTATCACTATCTGTGATTCTCAGGCATGCAGATTTAATTAACTGATATTTACAAAAAAAAGTAGCAGGATGACTAATATAGATAGTGCCATCGCAAAACCTTCTGAAATGTATTTCACATTATCAAAGATCGTTCAACTAAAGCACACCAATTGAGATGGGACATGGCTGTTTTTAAGAAGGGCAGGCATTATCTGTAATGATGGTTTCTTTACACTGTTTGAAGGAACTCCTTTAAAATTCAGGCATACCACTAGACACAAGGACACGGCTCCCTGAATCTTTGAACAGTTGTGTGGCTGAAGGTGCAGCTTTTCTCTGCCTTACCACTCTATTTAATAACCAGCTGCACCTGGTGGGATTCCCTGGTTGCACAAATTAAAGGCATATGAGCTCTGTTCTTGCCTGCAGCAGGTCTTCTTAGGCACACTCATATTTTGCTTTATTAAAACAGTCAGCAAATACTGACTGACACATTGGAAACTGTATTTAGATTTTCCGTTCATATTTAGGCATTGCTTGGCATGCTTAAAACAACACTTCCTTCAAATAATGTATCTGAAACCTTTATGAATTGCCCTGTCCCATCTAAATTTGATTACAAAAATGCAAAATACCCTCAAAAGAGGCATTGAAAACATGTCTTCATTCATTCGCGATGACATTTTAAACTACTGTTCTATACATTATAAGGCACATTTTAATGCAGCGTTCCCCAACCTGATGTCCTTCTGATGTTGGACTACAATGCCCATCAGCCTTGGCCATCAGCCATTTTAGATATGGCTGATGGGAGCTGAAATCCAGCAACATCTTAAGGGCATCAGGTTCCCCATGTGGTCTAGGAAACTATGCCAGTGCAAAAGACTATGACCCGGAAGGACTGGGACCCCATCCAATTTTTCTCAGCCACTGACTGACAGAAACACAGATGGTTAGCTAAAAAAAACAACAACAGAACTCTGAATATGTAGTAAACATAAAATGTGGTTGCTCTCTTTAAAATGCTTAATCTAGTAATATTGATTTAACCAAACGGGCACACTCCAAAATCTATTCAGAGCTACTTGGGTGGGGAGAGGAAGGTATGTTAGTGTCAGGACTACACAAGGAATTGAAGTAGCTTATTACACACAGTCCACAACCTTTACATAGCTATGCTCAATAGATTAGTTTCTCATTTCCATTTAGTTTAGAGAAGACAGCTACCCAGTTCAAGCACAAGTGAGACTAAGGTCCACAGCATTCAGATATACCATTTTAATGCAAATATTAAAACTGGTGTTTTCTTGCTCATGCATTATAGAGTTTTCCTGGCAGTGTTCCTGCATTATTATTATTTTAAAAATCTGATTATGACAAGCAAAAATACAGCAGGTAATAGCTTTTCCCATCAGTGGATCTTCTGGTTATGGAAAGCTTTCCCTGCTTAATTTATGTTGGCAATGCAACCATTAAATGCACACAAACTCTATCAAATGTTAAAGGCACAGTAGTTTCCACAATGAAATTTGAACTAACTGCCAGTTGCCCTTCAGTTATATACTCATGTTAATTAGGGCAGAGCAAGCAGAGCAAGAGTTTTCCATCACTTTCAGTTCTAGTCTGGGGAAGTAGAGAGCCCTTACCCTTTATAAAGTTAGCAGATTGACTTTGCCTTTTATTTATTCATTTATAAAAGTATTTATATGCCACTATATCATAAAAAATATCAAAACAGATTACAGCAATGATACATAAAGCATGCAATTAAAAACATATAAAAAGGTTAAAAACAGACATCAATTAACCATTGAGGAAAGATGTATTCTTAATTGCCTGCTCAGGCCTGGTGGAATAGAAAAGGTTTCAGCAGGCATTTGAAAGTTGGCACTGAAGCTACCTGCCGAATCTCTATTCACAGAGTATTCCATAAGGAATGGACCAATGATACAAAAGTGGTTGTCAAATGACCCGCACCAACTCATAGAATGGTCAGTGATACTCCAGTAGATGTGATGATAGATTGGGCAAGAGATTTAGGACATAATATAATGTTTGAGGACTGGGAAAGATTGTGGAAGAAAGGGGTTAAGTTCACCGCATGTACTTTGTTAAAGGAAAATATTATGAAGATGATGTATAGATAGTATTTGACTCCTGTAAAACTAGCAAAGATGTATCATAATTGTGATAATACATGTTGGAAATGTAAAGAAAAGGAAGGAACATTCTTTCATATGTGGTAGACCTGCCCCAAGGTGAAACACTTCTGGGAAAAGATTTATAATGAATTAAAAAAATGTTGAAATATACATTTATAAAGAAACCAGAGGCCTTTCTTCTTGGAATAACAGGTTCGGAATTGCCCAAGAAAGATGTTAATCTATTTTTGTATGCCACAACTGCGGCTCGTATTTTGTTAGCTAAAAAGTGGAAAACTCAAGAATTACCAACAGTAGAAGAATGGCAGATGAAGATGATGGATTTTATGGAGCTAGCCGATCTAACCGGAAGAGTCCGCGACCAGAAGGAGGAGGAATACCATGAAGAATGGAATAAATTTAATGATTATTTAGCTAAATTTGTTAAGCTAAAATAACTGGAAATAGCATCCAGATACTTAATGGGCTTAGGATTGTATTTATGTCTGATAAAATAATATGTTTAATACAAGAAGGAGAAGATTTAAAGATGTTAATGTTTAATTTAAAGGGTATCAAAATTGGGATTTGGAAAACCGTTATAAGGATATGCATTGAAATTCAACTAAGGGGAAACGAGGAAGTCGTTTTACAAAGTAAATAACTGTTATTTTCAATAAGGGTATGATTTATGTTTGTTATGTTTTGTTTGTTTTGTGTTTTTCTTTGTCGTTGATATTGTAAAAACTAATAAAAATTTTGCAAAAAAAAATAAAATACTCCAGTAGATGACCTCAGTGATCTAGTTGGAATATAAGGGTTCAGGTGATCCCTGAGGTACCCTGGACCTAAGTTGTTCAGGAGTTTATAAACTAATGCAAGAACCTTGAACATGGCACATCTGTGGATGGTCAGCCAAGGCAGCTGTTTTAACCTTGACATCACATGTTCTTGACCAGATGCCCCCACCAGCAGGAGTTTCCAAACCAGACCAAGGGCAGCCCCACGTAGAGCACATTACAGTAATCCAGCCTCGAGGTTACCAACACATGGACTACAGTGATCAGGCTATCCCTATCCAGGAATAGCCATACAGTGGACGCTTGGGTTGCGAACGTGATCCGTGCAGGATGCATGTTCACAACCTGCAGTGTTTGTAACCCATGTCTCTGCACGCATGGGTTGTGATTCGGTGCTTCTGCACATGCACGGCCACCGAAACCCAGAAGTAACCCGTTCTGGTACTTCCGGGTTTTGGTGGTCCACATCCCAAAAAAGCACAACCTGAAGCAGCTGTAACCCGAGGTATGACTGTAGTTGGCAACTTGCTAATTTCCCAAACATGGGAATGACGCAAAGTGCCTCCCGTCTTCCCAGGATTCAGTTTATTGGCCACCACTGCATTCAAACACCGATCCAGAGCTTTCATAACCTCTCCTGATTTAGAGGACCAAGAGGTGGTGCTATTTCAGATATACAGTGGTGCCTCGCAAGACGAAATTAATTCGTTCTGCGAGTTTTTTCGTCTAGCGAATTTTTCGTCTTGCGAATCACGGTTTCCCATAGGAATGCATTGAAAATCAATTAATGCATTCCTGTGGTCAAAAAAAGCCCAAACAAAGCCAAATTTGGTACAACAAGAGTTTATTAAGTGCTCTTTAAAGTCACACATACTGCAAAGAGCATTTCAAAAATTGAAGGAACAATAAATTAAGTTTCTAAACATGACAGAAAAACATTTAAAAATCAACAAAGTGTACAGTACATTTTCTAAGACTCTGGGGGACAACTCGAAGAAGGTTCCTCTTCCACTCTTTGCTTCTTGCTGAAGAACCTGTCCATGGTCTGCTGCTTCATCCGCCTTTTCAGCACCTCCCTGAAAGGCAACATGACCCTCGTATCAAAAGTGTTCACAAGGTCATGTGCCACGTGCTTGTCAGGGTAGTGCCGCTGTGCAAAAGCCTGCACATCCTTCCACTTCAGGCAAATGTCCCTCAGTTCTTTGGAGGACAGCCGTTCCTCAGTTGCTTCCTCCTCTTCCAGCGAGGCCTGCTCCTGCGCAGCCTCTGCCTGCAGTTCGACCAGCTCCTGGGTGGTCAGCTCGTGGTCGTGCTCCTCCACCAGCTCACTGATGTCCTCCTCTGTGACCTCCAGGCCCATGGTCCTCCCCAAGGCAACAATGTCCTGCACCACTGTTGACTCTGGTGCATCAGAGTCACTTGGTGCCACACAGTCCGGCCACAGGCTGCACCAAGTGCAATTCAAATTTCTCTGGCTGATCCCGTTCCAGGCCGTGGTGATCATCTTCAAGCAGGTGACAATGTCGAAGTGGTCCTTCCAGAATTCCTGCAGGGTGATGGTGGTGCAATCAGTCACCTCGAAGCATCGCCTGAAAAGCTCCCCCAGCCCCTCCCCAACTGTTGCAAACCCCTCCCCAACTGTTCCCCCAGCCACCCACCACACAGAAATTCAAATCCAGATTTTTTTTTAAAAAAAGCAGCAGAGTGGCCCAATGGTCACAGAAAATCATAAAAATGCAGAAAAAAACACACAAGCTTCCAGATTCTTGCAAACCCCTCCCCAACTGTTCCCCCAGCCACCCACCACCCAGAATTTTTTTCGTCTTGCAAAGCAAGCCCATAGGGAAATTCGTCTTCCGAAGCAGCTCGAAAAACGGAAAACCCTTTCATCTAGCGAGTTTTTCGTCTTGCGAGGCATTCGTCTTGCGGGGCACCACTGTAAAGGCTACACTCTAGACAGAAGAGTGAATTTACAGTGTAGTAAATTCCTTTATCTCTCTCCTTGTATGGACACAGACATTGGCTAGAATCCAAATAATTGTACAACGTGCTCCATGTAGCTGGAGGGCTTTTTAGGCCATGTCTCTTCAACCAGCTTCCCATTCAAAATGCAACACAGCCCTTTTGAAATGGAGAAGACTTTCAGAAGTAGTTTGTTATGTGGAAAGGGGTAACATTACCTGGACTGGAACTACTCCAGACTCTGGTGTACTGGAAAATATAAAACAAAGACCAGATTCCATTAACATTACAGTAACCTACTGCTGAAAGTTTAAGAGCTCAAAAACCCCACGCCCTTGAACATTTTACATCATTAAAGGGTTAATGACTGCCTCTTGGAACTGGAAATGAAGTGATTATCATGGTGACTATCTGAGCTGGTGATTTGGCAGCTAAATATCAGTCTTGTACTGTGCACACTACTGACATCTAATGGTTAGGCTTGCTGCTGCATGCAAATGCATATGTCAGCCTGAGCTAATATTTCAACTGATGCAAAATACAAATCTAGATTTTGTTTTGCTAATTTTTATTTTTTTTTGCTTTTGACAGTACATATCATAATTATAGCTTTTTTTTTGCTACAATAGTTATATGAAAGATGCAAATACTGTTTATTTTAAAGGATTTGTTTTAATTTAGGGGCAAACTAATGTCCTTCTTTGTGGCTTTTTCCATGCACCATATTTCAAAATACAGTTGAACATCTCCTAAAACTGGCTGATTTGATTAGAACCATGGTAGAAGATGCAACGTTTGAACATATGCACTGCAGCTCTAATTTCAAGTGAAATCTTATGCATCTTTACTCAAAGGTAAATCCCCCTGGATTCAATGGGGCTTACTTCCTAGTTAGTGTGCTTAAAACTGCAGACTTAATCTATTTTAACTGTGATTTTTCATCTACAGATGGCTGATCATTTTGCTGAAGGGCAGATTTTTTTAAAAAAATATTTAAATAAAGAAAGCACCAGGCATCAAGTCTTGCATCAGCTGCCATCTGTGCACATCTTCAAGGTGCTATACACCTTTGAAAGAGGAGAGGCCACCCATCATCTGCATACTAATTTAAGCTCTCAATACTCTAATTTAAACACTTAGTTCTTTAAGTTGGAAGTGTGGAACCTCTTGCTTCCAGGTGCTGCTGGACTACAATTCCCATCAGGCCACAGCTTTGATTATACAGCAGCTGAGTGGGGTTGGCAGAGAAGTAAGGAAAGGATCAGGTCATCATTCCAAGCAGTCCTTGCTACTGGAATAGTATTCAGCACTATGGCTGTGATGCACCCATTGCAACCTTGTGAATTGACTACTGCTGTATAAGGAATTAATATATGGACCCACATGTGTAGGTGAACAACAAAAAGAAAATGGATGGGTGCCTAGATTCAAAACATGGGGCTAGCACACAGCAAGCTCCAGAAGCAGAATATTAAACTGACAAAAATAAGCAGCAATGTAGTCTTGGAGATATAGATTGTTAAACCATTTTTATCCCATTCAGTGGTGCATAACAGTTGACCTCTTTCTGCCCCTAGAGCAGACCACACACTGTTAAATAAGTTTAAAATACTTTACTTACAGATTCAAGGTCTCGGTCATGCATTGTTCCATGCAGCAGCAAAGATAATACAGGCAAAATTCTATTGGGTAGAAAGTACAGAATACAGTTCCAAACACATGCTGTAAGCTCTGAAGCAAGTTTACACACCTCCATCTCATTACATGTTGCAGGGAGAGGGAGAGAGAGAGAGGAAGGAAGGAAGGAAGGAAGGAAGGAAGGAAGGAAGGAAGGAAGGAAGGGGCGTGTCCTAGCTGAGTCTATCTAGCAATACAACTCTGTGGTACTTCATGCACTAACTCAGTGTTTCCCAACCTTGGGCCTCCAGCTGTTTTTGGACTACAACTCCCATCATCCCTAGCTAGCAAGACCAGTGGTCAGGGATGATGGGAATTGTAGTTCAAAAACAGCTGGAGGCCCAAGGTTGGGAAACACTGCACTAACTAGCCCTATGACTGTTAGTTGTATTTGACTTCAATCTCCCACATGCTGGATCCTGGTGTGGCACAAGCCAAGAAACCAGGATCCTACTGGGCATCCAGGGAGGGGTTTAAGCCAGGCTAGGAGCTCAGCGGGACGCGGGTGGCGCTGTGGGTAAAAGCCTCAGTGCCTAGGGCTTGGCGATCGAAAGGTCGGCAGTTCGAATCCCCGCGGCGGGGTGTGCTCCCGTTGTTCGGTCCCAGCGCCTGCCAACCTAGCAGTTCGAAAGCACCTCCGGGTGCAAGTAGATAAATAGGGACCGCTTACTAGCGGGAAGGTAAACGGCGTTTCCGTGTGCTGCGCTGGCTCGCCAGAGCAGCAATGTCACGCTGGCCACGTGACCCGGAAGTGTCTGCGGACAGCGCTGGCCCCCGGCCTCTTGAGTGAGATGGGTGCACAACCCTAGAGTCTGTCAAGACTGGCCCGTACGGGCAGGGGTACCTTTACCTTTAGGAGCTCAGCACTGCAGCCGTGAGGCCTAGGCAATGGACATACAAAGTCTATGCCCCTGCGTGAGCACAGATAATTCTCACCCAGGCAAATAACCAACAGATTGGGAGGGCCTTGGTGCTGGATTTGCTTCTTCTCCACCAGGGAACACAACTTAAACCACTTTATCCCTACCTGGAGATCCAGGAAACATGCACCCATGGATGTAGTTGACTTAACCACTGTGTCAACCTCACATGTTTTCCTTCCCAGTGCACAATGCTGTGCCTGAGGATCCATACACACATCCATCCTACAACATATTCAAAAATTACCAGTGGTAGCTGCTATGATGAGCAGAAGTAACCCTTAAAGGCCCTTGAGTGCCACTGGCCTGTGTCCTGGTGAATGAAAAATTGCCCAGCACTGTTAGGTTGAATTCTTAAGTGGACCAGCCATCAATTCCAGTTGGCAGAGGGGTGGTGGATCGCTCCATCCAGCCTACTAGATTTCTGCACCAGCTACAAAGGAAGCACAGTTTATTCCTGCACAACGAGCATGGAAACACAGAGAGCTGGCAGAGGATGAACAAATCACTCCATTCTGCTTCCACCTGTCCTCTTGGTACAATGCAGTTATTTAGTACATTGCTAAGAAGCTAAAAGCCAGCATTTCCATAGCAGACCAACACAAAATGTGCAAGGTTACAAGTCTGGATTAGGAGTTATGTTGTACTCAAGTCTCTGTATATGATTTGGGATGCTGATTCCTCCCCTGCCATACTTTAAATGTTAAGGACAGCTTTGTGGGCATCAATCGTCTGAGCACTTCAATTATTCTTATTCTCTGTCCTAGTTCATCATGTTCAATTGTATAGCATCTAAAATTGTTTCAGGGAGAAAAGCATTTTAGTTTCCAGTGAAAATGGAACGTTAGTTGCTTTTGGTTACTTCAAAGCTTTATTTTGCTGAAGGAAACAGTTGTCACATGACAGCTTCTTTTTAAAAAGGAAAGTGAAATTCCCCCCTACAGCTGATATTGCTGTGGTTTCTGAGGAATACAGTTTATAGACACCAAGCAAAATCTGCCTCTAGCAAATAAAAAACAAACACTAAAAGGATATTTATTAGGGACGCGGGTGGCGCTGTGGGTTAAAGCCTCAGCGTCTAGGACTTGCCGATTGAAAGGTCGGCGGTTTGAATCCCCGCGGTGGGGTGCGCTCCCGTTGCTCGGTCCCAGCGCCTGCCAACCTAGCAGTTCGAAAGCACCCCCGGGTGCAAGTAGATAAATAGGGACCGCTTACTAGCGGGAAGGTAAATGGCGTTTCCGTGTGTGGCTCTGGCTCGCCAGATGCAGCTTGTCACGCTGGCCACGTGACCCGGAAGTGTCTGCGGACAGCGCTGGCTCCCGGCCTCTTGAGTGAGATGGGCGCACAACCCTAGAGTCTGGCAAGACTGGCCCGTACGGGCAGGGGTACCTTTACCTTTACCTTAAAAGGATATGGTCCATTATGAAACACACCACACTTAAGTATATAGAGCATTATGCAGCAGTTATTTCTGTCTATTCCACCTACTTGTCCTTATGCTGCTATAAATCTGCATTTATCTAGTTTGTGTGAAGAGCTTGCAAAACAATTTACAGCACAAACCTATACATGTAAATTCAGAAGTAGGACCCACTGACTTAAGTGAAGCTTATTTCCAGCTAGGTGGGTATCAGATTGTAACCTTACTCCTCCTCTTCCCCCACCCCACATTTTTTAATAGTAGTTGTATAAATTTTGTCATAGAAACTACGTCTTGAATGCACCATTAAAACAAAACAAAAACCCACAATATGTATAATTGTGTGGTTTTCCCATCCACAGTATTTCCATATACACTTTTCTGAACCATATACAGATATTGCAACATAGCTTAAATCTAAAACAATTGTTCCAGTTCAGTTCTTTAAGCTTCTGTTTCTGTCCATCAGACGCATGTTTATAGCCAGACGAAGCGATATAGCAGGTATGTACAGTAGTTATTCACAAGGGACAAATACTTAGGTTCTTTTCCATGTTTTGGGATCCAGTGCCCGTTGTTATATGCAGTCTACTAAAAACCAGAGGCCTAAATCATATTAGAAATAAGCCCCATTAGGTTTATTGGTACTTATCCTCATATAACTTCCTGAGATCTCGATATCTCTGATTATTATAGTGCTTGCACCTTCTCACCTGCTATCAGGCCATTGCCATGCCAAGTTATCCCCATATCCAGTGCTATTTTTCTAGGTGCTGAAACTCACCATGAACACCTCCCCTGTTCTGTTGTTGTTGTTGTTGTTCAATGGTGCCCACCAGAGAGGTGCTGGAACTGAGTTCCAGTGAGTTCTTCCTGGGGGAAAAACACCCCTCCCTATATCACAGGTTGTGGGGTGTGTATGAGGGTAATTACTGTGGAATAGCCACTTCTTGTTTACTTTTTACTGTGTTTCTGCAGTGTCATGAATATCTCTCCCTCCCAAGTCTTCCCTGTCAAGATTATCTTTGTTTCTGTAGCTCAGAAAAGCCTAATTTTTTTAACATACTGTAATAGTTGCTCAGTTTCCCTAGATGTAGATAATGCATTGTGTTGCTCTTATGGTCGGGTTAAGGCCTGTATATGTTGTTCAGCCATTTTCTTCAGTGCAGTCTGTCTCTCCTCTCTAGGAACCAACTCTATTACTTTAAACCTTCCATTGCTAAAGTATATCATTCCCCCTCCCCTCTCACAGACACAAATTGCAGAGGGGCAGGGAAATTATGATGGGGTGTATGGGGGAGAGGGTATTTAACCCTCTCCCGACCCACCCTCCACCTTACAACGGGGAATGGGGTGGAGCATGTGGTAGAGCACCTGTTTTGCATGCCAAAGGTCCCAGGGGAAAAAATCCCTAACTGAAACCCCAAAGAGCTGCCACTGCCAGCTAGTAAAATAGGTGGACCAATGGTCTGACTCTGTAAAAGCAGGACTTTTTTTCATCCAGAACTCAGTTCCAGCACCTCTTTTTCTAGAAAAAATAGCACTGAGCATAAGGCAGCTTTTTATTTATTTGTTATTAAATTTGTATACTACCCTTCATCTGTACACCTCAGAGCATGAAAATACAAAATAAGAACACAAAATACATAACAGGAACAAAGCAAAACAATAAACCGGCTTCCTCCATCCCCTCCCATAGACACGTTTAAAAGGATATAGGGTGTTAGCCAAAAGCCTGGCTGAAGAGAAATGTTTTTGCCTAGCACCTAAAGGTGTATAACAGGGGTAGGCAACCTAAGCTCTGTGGACCGGATGCGGCCCAATTGCCTTCTCAATTTGGCCCGCGGATGGTTCTGGAATCAGCGTGTTTTTACATGAGTAGAATGTGTCCTTTTATTTAAAATGCATCTCTGTGTTATTTGTGGGGCCTGCCTGGTGTTTTTCCATGAGTAGAATGTGTCCTTTTATTTAAAATGCATCTCTGGGTTATTTGTGGGGCATAGGAATTTGTTCATTTCCCCCCAAAAAATATAGTCCGCCCCCCCCCCACATGGTCTGAGAGACGGTGGACAGGCCCACGGCTGAAAAAGGTTCCTGACCCCTGGTGTATAATGAAGGCGCCAGGCGAACCTGGCTGTGCTTCTGTGAAGGAATCTTGTTTATTCAAATGAAGTGTTAACGGGCATTGCGTAATGTGCTCTGACATTTGTAGGGTAATGTTACATTGTAATGGATTCGCTGTGGGGAGTTTTTTTATCTGGCCCAGTGAAATATTGCTTGGTGTTAGAATTCTCGTTATGCATAAGAATATGCTTGTTTTGATTGGTGCGTTCGAGTTTTGAATTTTCAGTTGGACTGTGTGATTGGGTGGGGCAGGACTTGACGTTCCAGAAGAAGTGTGTGTGTATATATATATATATATATCCAGGTGCTGGTGAGAAGAGGGCTAATTGTGAGTTGGAGTGGTTGGTGGAGTCAGGAAGGAGCAGGAACAGGAACAGAAGGAGGAGGACCAGGGGTCAGGGAAGGAGGAAGAAGACCAGACAGGTTGGTAGAATGATTTGGTGCATGGCGATTTGATTATTATCCCTTTCTCCACCAGATGGTGCTGTTGATTTATGATTGAATGCACAAATATCAGAAGTTAAGTCTTTTCCAGTTCATGTTAGGGAAGGATGAACAAAGTGGTAGAAAATCACCATGCTTGAGCAACATCACTGATACGAAATTCAGAATATAACACAAGAATTATCAGTGGCCAAATAACTTGAGATCTGGTGTAGTTTAGCATAATGACTAAGAAGCTTAGCTATGAATCAGCACTATCAGGAACTCAACTAGATGACTTCAGTTAAGCCCCACCCCTCATTTTGTTCCCTTTCCATGTGGGTAATTCTGTGTGCTTTACAAGGCTGCTGTGAGGATTATAACAGAATAATGTATTGAATACTTGAAAACACATGGGGCTGTGCCCCTGATCATTCGTATTGCCGTCTCCCCTGCCACCCTCACAATAACCTCTTAGCTCAGGGCAACCCAACTAATATCAAGTGGGCTGCAAGAGTGCTTTGATGCAGAACCCATGGGCCACACATAGCCTCGTAATGCGGGACGGGAGAAGCAAGCCCCAAATTGGACAACGACACCCCCCCCCAGCCCTCACATACCCTTCACAAAGCTGGCTTTGGGAAGGAGGTGCATGTTTTCTAGCTTTTTCAAACCACTCCCATATCCTCATAGCTCTTTAAACCCCTTATTTTGCAAACTGCCCTGAGATCGTTTGATGAAGGGTGGTATATAAATTTAATAAATAGATAAATAAAACCCCATCATACCCTCACAACTCCTCTGTTCCCTGCTCTATTCAAACCTCTTCTGTTATTTAAAACTGCCATTAAAAAAACTGCCTTTTCTTTTGCTCTCCTGCCAAGCCCTGAGTTTACACAAATCCAGGATTGTGATGAGGCACTTACATATCCTAGTGGGACTGCACAATGACAGCCTTACATTGTTATCTATATAGGAAGATATAACTCAAAATAAAAAATGAGGTAACAGCATATTAACACTAAATGCAAAAATCTGTGGAAAAGACGTGCCCTGTGATAATATGGCATGCAAAGGGTTAAAATGAGATTGACTGTTACACAATTGCTCCTCAGTGGGTGTCAGCCCTATACCAATTCAGTCTGGTGCAAGCCAGCCTCAGAGCTATTTGTTTTTCCTCTGTAGTTCAGCAACTGCTTTTTTTGGTGTCTGCTGTGGTGTAGGGTTAACAGGAAGGTGTGCAACCATGTGAGTAGATACACAAAGGATCCACTGAACCATATTGCATGGTGTCAGAGCTGGGCCTGTTCCCCATAGACATCTCAGCATGGTGGTTATGGCACAAATATGAGTTTCCAGGGAAGCTGGTAACTTCAGGGCAATGTGGCCAGCAACTGGAGAAAGTGGAAGCAGGAATCTGAAGTATACAGCATTGTTTGCGATGCAGTTATAAAGGATGGTGAATCAAAAACTGCCCTATCTCTGCATGTGCCTGGGGAAGAGGCTAGGAAGGTTTTCAATATCTTTCAGTTCACCAAATAGATAAGCAAAATACGTCATTTGTTACCAGCAAATCTGAGGCCTACCGCACTCCTAAAAAGAATGACTTGACAGAAACAAGTTCTTCACATGAATTCAGATGGAAGGGGAAAGCACTAATCGCTATGTCACTGATTTAAAGATGCTTGCACAAACTTGTGGGTTTGGAGAATTGCTTGTCTTCCTCATTAAATAACCATGCTGTTTGTCGAGCATGCTCAGGCAGGCTGAGGGCTAGGTTGCTAAGAAACCTTTATTTAAATCCTAACTTGTGCTGTGTAGACATTTGTTAATCAGCTCCTGGACAAGGACCATAATCCTTTGTGGATGCTGTGCAAAAGGGATCCCCTGCTCCCTGGTGTTCCAGCTATTGTTGCTGGCAAGCCTCTTTATTTCTAACTGGACCCTGGTGCAGAGAATGTGGCCCAATTATTGCACAAGAAGGTGAAATCAATCCCAGCAAGTGTCACCCTGACTGCATTTGAAGGGACAAGAATGACACCAAGAGGAACATTCGTAGCCTTTTGCAAGAAAGGTGTTTTGAGGTGGGCCATGCAGCATGTGAGACTATGCAACTCATCAGGTGTGTGAATGAAGATCATGCCACTTGACCACTGCTAAAGACATAGCTCCTTACAGCACCCTCCTATATATTTTTGCTGGTCTGAGACACTTTCCAGGTGTGCATGACATTTATGTAGACTAAGTTGTGTCCCTAGTTGTTTATGGATGCAGGAATATCTCCAACACCATAGAGGACCAACTGCAACCAGCCCCACAGTACCTCAAGTTCATTGGGTCATCTCTAAAGTGATTAAGTCTATGTCCTGAACCCCTGGCTTACCTGGCAGCAAATCCAAAGTCCAGGGTCAAGCCACAAGACCAAAGTCCAAAGCTCAGGAAATGCAGTCCACAGTCAATCCAAGTAGCCAAATCTGAAGTGCAGCAGTCAGAATGCAGTCCAGAGTCAAACCCAAAGCAGACTCCAGGAGCATTCAAGCCAAAGTCTATCAACAGGGGCAGTTGAGCAGACAGCACCTCAGCTCTGCTTCCCTCTTTGCTTGCTGATTGCAGCATCTGGGCTTGATGAGGCTTGTGACCTTCACCTGTTCTGAGCCTACTCTAGCTGAGGAATCACACGCCTTCTCCCAGAGCTAACGAGCCCCACCTGGCCAGCTAGGGAGCTGGGCTGTGGGCTATTGTCTGCCCCAGCCTCCTAGAACACCCCTCCCTCTGCTCCCTACATCTCAGAGCCCACTGTGTTCATGGGGACAAGAGCCCCTCTGGGTCTGGTGATGGGTCCTGCTGCTCTGGTTCCTGTGCATCCATCCCCTGTCACCCTCTGAGTACTTCCCTCCCCATCATCCTGCCAGTTCATGATAGCCTATAGCATGGGTGAGTAGCTGAAGTATTCTACAAAAGAAGAATGGGTCGCTTAGGCTGTGTCCTGACCCTAGAACTTCAAGAAGGCTGTCAGGAGACAATTTTATATTCACACAGATATTGATGTCCAGAGAAACTTGGCAAGGAAGAAACCCTTTGCCATCCTCAATGAAAAATATGACTACTGGCAATGGGTAGGAGACCCAGCCAGATGTGTGGGGTAAAAGTAATAACTTATTATTATTATTATTAAGCAAAGTGGATGCCATTAATGAAATGCCTCCACTGGATTATAAAAAGGGTTTGCAACAGTTCTTAGAGATTGTTCAGTATTTGGCTGAGGTTGGCAGGAGCTGGGCCAGAACAACAGGAGCTCACCCTGTTGCGGGGATTTGAACCACTGACCTTCTGATCAGCAAGCCCAAGAGGCATGGTCACAGCGCCACCCGCTCCCCTAAAGAGTGCCATAGTGTGTGTGGGGGGGGGGGGTTGACAGCAAAAGATCTGTCTTCATTACTTCTCCAGCTTCTTCTATGTTTAACCACTTCATGCAAATATTCTGCAGTAAAGAATGATATAATTTAATCATATTTCCTTGGCAATCCAAAATTTAGAACTGCAGGTACTTTCACATCATACCCGTAGCAATCTAGGTGACAAACCAGTGGAAGTGGCATTTGAATGTGCTCCACCTGACCTATTCATAGATTAGCAGACAAAAAGGTTATTTAAGAGGTTATCGAAGATAACCTGAGACCATATTTACCTTTGATGTTTGTTCCTGTATCACCGGCACAAAGAAGAGTTGGGATTAGGAACTGAGAATGACTTACCTGTAGTGAATGGCTTCAGTCACATCACATTTTGTTTTTAGTGATTTGTGCA